TTTTTTTTTTTTTTTTTTGTAAGCAAGTAGTAATTAAGAGGAAATAAACAGAGAAGTAAAACCTATCAGAAAACAATTCATTCAAGCTATAAAGTGAATAGCGGAAAACCTATCGGAAGACTCTAAAAGAACCTGTTATCCCTTTTTATTTACCCCCGCCCGTCACTGCTCTGTAAAGATCTGTCTCAATACCTCGATTCACTTTGCTTTTCATCAGGTTCAACAAAAGCTCAAGCATTCTAACAACTAGAATTCAGCTCATTTCAACGGACACACCTCATCTACCATACACACACACACACTGTACATGAATTACATCTATCAATAACAATCCCATAATCCCACAAAAACATAAAAAATACAGACAAACAATTCTCTTTATTTTGATTCACTTTGCTTTTCATCAAATTCAACAAAATCCTAAACATTCCATTGACAAAAATTAAACCCATTTCAACAAACAACCCACATCCATCAAAACACACACAAACACAAACACAAAAAAAAAGATGAAAAAATGAAAAAGAAAATGCAAAAACAATACCAGTCTCGGGTACCAACTTTTCCGAGGAGGGATTGCAGCGCGAGAGAGGCCGTCTCCTTATGATTAGGGAAAGGAAAATTATCAAGTTATTAGATCGAAGATCGAAGATGAACAGTTGAAGATCGAAGAGAGAAAAAGAGAGGAAAGCTTTATTAGATCTAAAAGGGAAAATTACAGAATGAGAAAAAGTGTTTGGAAACTAGGGTTTCCTCCTATTTATACTATGCCAAAATAGTCTATACAAAAAGTGCTAAAAGGCTATACACGATTTTACTAGGAAAAATACAACTTGAGATAAAACAATGAAAATTACAAAATATTAAAATAAAACCTATCATCTATTACCCCCCGCAAGTTGGGCATGTATGTTGTACATGTTCAGCTTGGAAGAGATATGATCAAAAGCAGAGGTTGACAATGGCTTGGTAAGGATATCTGCCAGTTGATCTGAGGATGACACATGGCTGAGTGAAATGATGCCTTTGTTGACTTTTTCTCTGACCAAGTGGCAATCTAATTCAATGTGTTTTGTCCTCTCGTGCAAAACTGGATTATGAGCTATACAAATGGCTGATTTACTATTTGAAAACATGGAAACAGGGGCAAAGTGAGTAACATTTAAATCAGCTAAGAGATATAACAACCATTGGGCCTCACAACAAGTGGATGCAAGGGCCCTGTACTCTGCTTCAGCAGATGATCTTCTCACTGTGACCTGTTTCTTAGATTTCCAAGACACTAAAGAATCACCCAAAAAAATGGCATAACCAGTAATGCTTTTTCTAGTATCAAGACATCCTGCCCAATCACTATCACTAAAAGCATTTAAATGAATTTGAGAGGTTCTGGGAAGAAGTATACCTTTTCCTGCTGTAGCTTTGACATACCTTAGAACTTTGTGGGCTGCATCCAAGTGCTCCTGTGTAGGCTGAGACATATGTTGGCTTAAACACTGAACACTGTAAGAGAGGTCTGGTCTGGTGATTGTTAGATAAAGCAATCTACCTACCAACCTTCTATATGCAGATGCATCAATGAGTATGGAAGTGGATGAAGCCTTTGTCAGTTTGGTATTACTATTCATGGGAATGTTTGAAGGCTTACAATCCAAAAATCCTGTGTCATGCAATATGTCCAATGCATACTTTCTCTGACAAATGTGAATGCCTTTCTCTGAATGAGCAATTTCCAGGCCTAATATATATTTTAATTGGCCTAGGTCTTTGATGGTAAAACATGCATCTAAATGTTGTTTGATCTTATGTATGGCAGTTAAATCATTACCTGTAAGGATGATATCATCCACATAGACCAATAATGCAAGAAATGATGACTGTGAATGCAATGTAAATAATGATGAATCTGCAAGAGACTGTGTGAAACCATAGGACAATAAACAGGTGGTTAACTTATGGAACCACTGTCTGGAAGCCTGCTTTAGGCCATATAGACTTTGCACAAGTTTACACACTCTAGTGTCATTTGGTGCACAGTAACCAGGTGGAGGGGTCATGTATACCTCTTCATCTAGGTCACCATGCAAAAATGCATTGTTGACATCTAGTTGGTGTGTGTGCCAGTTATTTATAGATGCAAGGGCAAGTAATAATCTAACAGTGGTAATTTTAGCTACAGGAGAGAAGGTGTCAAAGTAATCTATGCCCTCTTCTTGGGTATAGCATTTGGCAACCAATCGAGCTTTATACCTTTCTATTTCACCATTAGACTTATATTTAATTTTATACACCCATTTACAACCAATGGTATGTTTGTTTTCAGGCAAAGGAGTAAGAACCCAAGTGTTAGTACTTTCTAAAGCATTTAGTTCCTTTTTCATTGCCTCTTCCCATAAGGGATTTGAAGCTGCCTGTTTATATGTCCTAGGTTCAGTATGTTCAGAGATGGATGCAGTAAAACAGGCATGTTGATCAGATAATGAATTAGTGGAAAGAAAATCACAGATAGGATATGGAGAAGTAAGTTTTGATGTTCCAGAGACTGTGGTGGTAAAAGATGTAAATGAGGAAAGAGAGTGTTTGTAGGCATTCAGATAAGAAGGAGTTGTCTTTGGTCTAGTGGATCTTCTGAGAATAGGGGATTGAGCCTGAGTGTTAGTGTCAGGGGAAGGTTGTGTAGGGGCAGGTTGTTGAGGTAGAGGGGAATGAGGAACAGAAGTAGTGTGTATAGGGGAAGTAGAAGGTGGTGAAGTAGTAGGTTGTTGTTGGATTTGAGAAGTGGTTGGCTGAAGATCATATGTGAAGGGTTGTGGTTCAGGAAATAGATGGTTTGTGTCATTTTGTACAGGGTGTTTGAAAGGAAGTACATCTTCAAAGAAAACCACATTTCTGGAAATCAATGTCTTCTTGGTATCTAGGTTGTAAAGTAGGTAACCTTTGCAACCTAAGGGATAGCCAAGAAAAATGCATTTAGAAGATCTTTGATCAAATTTTGTTCTAGATGCAGTTAAAGTAGATGAGTAACAGAGGCAGCCAATTACTCTGACATGATCAAGAGTAGCAGGTTTGTTATGCAGTTTTTCAAAGGGTGAAATGTTATGCAAGACAGATGATGGTATTCTGTTGATAATATGAGCAGCAGCTAATATGCAATCCATCCAAAATTCAAGTGGCAAGTGTGCATGAAAGAGTAATGCTCTAGCAACTTGTAATAAATGTTGATGTTTTCTTTCAACTCTGCCATTTTGTTGTGGTGTTTCAACACAACTCTTTTCATGTAATATGCCATTTTGCAAATAGAAATCAGATAGAATGAACTCAGTACCATTATCAGTTCTAATGGTTTTGATTTTCTTATGGAAATGAGTGATAACCATGTTATGGAAATGAATGAGAGATTTATGAGTGTCTGATTTTAAAGCAAGTGGGTAAATCCATGTAACCCTGCTAAAATCATCAAGAATAGTGAGAAAATATTTGTAACCAGCATGAGAGGTAACTGAGAAAGGGCCCCATACATCACAGTGTATCAAATCAAATGCAGATGAAGCAATTTAAGTAATAATAGGAAAGGGCAATTTCTTTTGCCTTGCAATTGGCATACATCACAAGGATAATGTGCATTATTTTTAGCAGTAGAGTGACAGATAGGTAGACAAGCAAGTTTATGAAATGATAGATGGCCTAGTCTATTATGCCACAATATAGAAGAGTCTGCTGTAGATTGTTTTACAGTAGCATCAGAAGAAGAAGATACATGAGAGTTGATTATTACATCAGAATCAGAGACAGAGTTACAGATCATTGTATTAGTGTTAACAGATAAATGGTAAAGGCCAGCCTTTACTTCAGCAGAACCAATCACTGACTTGGTTTTCATATCCTGTAAAATGCAGTTGCCAGAGACAAAATTGACTAGACAGTTATTTGTAGATGTTAGTTTTGAAATAGAGACCAAGTTAAAGGTAAAGGATGGGACATATAGTACATTGAGGAGCACAAGATTAGGTCCCAGATTTATCTGTCCCACATGGCTTGCCTCAGTACTTTGTCCATTTGGTAAATGAATTTTGACAGAAATAGGTTTTGGTTTTGAAGTAAATAAGTTGATATCACATATCATGTGATCAGTGGCACCAGTGTCCAAAATCCAAGAAGTTTTAGTCAAAGATGATTGAGTTAAGCAAGAATAAATTGTTGAAGTACCTGTGTTAAGAGGTTCAGCATGGACAGTAGCTGCAACAGGGGCTGGAGAAGGACCAGTTCCCTGTTTGAGCTCATTCACCTTTTTATATTCTAAGAACTCATGAAACAGTTGATCAGTCATGTTGGGAGCAGTGTTAGTATTGCCAGAAGGTGAATCAGAGAAGAAATTTTGAGTGGAAACAGAGTTAGCCTGGGATTTGTTAGGATGGATCCTAGGACCCCTAGGACCTACCCAATTGTCAGGATAGCCTATGACCTGAAAACATCTCTCAGAAGGATGATTGTATCCACAGTGTTCACAAACAGTTTTCTTTCTATCTTTGTTTTGAAACTTTGAAAATTTGGACTGAGAAGTTTTTGCAAGCATGGCTAAGGAGTCAAAAGGTTTTGA